GAAAAAATCGACCCGCTTAATGGATATTACCGGAATTATATTATATTGATAATTGCCGTGTTCTACAATGCAGGTACATTATAACTATACCAGAATTTATCATCTAACCTATATGTTAGACTTGGTACTCATAACTTAAAGTTTCGTTCCACCTAAGTCTACAAAAAATGGGACACGTGGGTCTACGACATTTCTTGTATCAATATAAAAATATCATTTTTGTCCTCCGAGTTTAAATTATTTATCACATCCTTTTTGGATACAAGTGATATAATCATATACCAATTTTAATTTTATTAAGCATAGGATTTATTATTTTAACAACTTTTTAATAAAGCGCATGGACATTTTATGTAACGCTGGGACATCATAAAAATGACAACATCGTGGTATATCTAGCTATATTTTTACAAATAAAAACGTCTAAAATATATTCTAAATATGATATTGTCAATATTCATATATTTTCCTTGCCATTGATATATAATACTTGACATCTTTAAGCAAAACCATCTCTACACAACCATACAAATGAATTTTCCAATGCTCTGTATGAAAGTAACACCAGTATCGTGCGCGACGTCACCGTTATTTAGAACACAATGTGTAAATGTGTATGTTACACAGGCACTTGTTTAGGGAATAAATTTTAACCCATAGTATAATAATAAAACGGTGTTATTATCATACTATGGGTAAAAAAATTATTACAGAAACAAGTGCCTGTGGTATGTTACCAGGAAATTACGTTAACTTTACGCTCTCCAAGTATGTGAAATCAACTGTGATGCCACAGGGAAACAAACAAGCAAAATTATCTAAAATACATAGAACCTAATCTACAAAAGACAAAAAATATTAATTAAAAAAAATCTGCTTCAGAATTCCATCATGATGCCTTGACTGTGACTTGTTTATTTAAGGGGTCACTGTCTAGTTAGTATTGTATGCAAGGGCATCAACGGTAGTGGGAAACATGGGATAATTTGCATAATGGACGAAGCCCGATGTCCCTGGCATACTATAATATTTGCGTATCCACTGCTCTCTCCCACTATGAACACGTAGTCATCATCTACGTTCATGGGACTCTAGACGCAGCACAGGCACCTGAAGTATGGATAATACCCCCCTTTTTATGAAAAAATATGTAAGAGTGTACAATATCTCAAAAATATAAAATTTCCCCGTCAAACACATCTATATGTCGTTATATGCAAGCAGATTGTACTTTTTCCCACGTTTAAAGAATGGCCCTATTCGGTATATTATAAAAATACACAAGGTAAGAAACAAAAGTTGTATACAAACGGGGGGTTCCCCGCTTCGAGACAGATTTCGATGGTAATAACAGTGTTACCTATCATAATTTTGCATGCAATCTGTCAGGGAGATGTTCTCTTACTGAATTATATAACCTAATACCCGCCATTAATGTTTAATATGGCGTAATCGGACGATTTATTAATCGGATACATAAAATTTTCTCCATTGGCAGCGTTGGATGAGGTTTTGGAGTCGCACTTCTGTTTCGCTTTATCTGATTGGTTAGATATTTAAACTGTATCACAATTATAGCCAAAGAAATATTTTTTTCTTACCTGGAAAAGTTGACAAGCAAAGAAAAACTGTGCCCAAAGTCGAAAAAGCTACTTATTTCAGTACCTGTTCCTTGGCACACAATACTACATTTCCATTATATAACTTTACCGTAGTATAACCTGTGTGTGTGTGGGGGGGGGGGGGGGCAACCTGTCTTTCAATGAACATTTTCAATAGAAAAAGTAATGTTGGGAAAAAAGTGGGGGTTGGGCTAGGCCCCTTGACCCCCCCCCTCCCTGTTGCTACGTGCCTGTTAGCTGGTAAACAACTTCATCAGAAATTTGCAATTTTATGTAACGTTATTGTAATTTTTTCTTAAAATCTTACATGTATAATCTACGGGATACATCTTATTTATGTCTTAAAAGGGATAATTTACAAAATACACGTAAGTTTTAATAAGCGTTGTGCTGAAACCGGGAAGATGAATTTTGCTGGATGTCAGTTGAGTACACTTGAACTCAGAACTGACCATAAGAATGTTTCAAATCAAATTTCCTACGAATTTGATTGACACCTAGGTGATGCACGAGGGTTTCGTGCGTACAGGTATAGAGAACGAATGTGGAAATTAATGGGTTGAACAGTTGAATATGAACCAAAATTGTGGAAATTAAAAATTATTTGAATTATTAATTGTGAATTCAATATAATTACGGTACATATATTTTCTCACAGATGTTTATGTATGCAAGTTACACGGGGTTTCATGAGTCTCTCTCTCTCCCCCCTCTCTCTCTCTCTAATATTGTTTTTTAAACACTTTGCGAAAAAGAATAACTTATAACAATAAATACATGCACTCACACTGAAAAGATTTTAAAACCATAAATAACACTTGAGAAAATAATGTTTTTGGTTAATTAAGGAGAAATACGCTAGGAAGTTATTGTATCAATTATGTTTTTCTGCTGTCAATTCTCTAAAACTAAAACAAAATGTGTATTTTACTCGGGAATATACATGGACATATGCTTTGATCCTACACTAAAACTTTGCAGCTCAGACTCTATACGACATATGTAATACGAATTCAGGTCGATGCTATTTTAATTAGTCTTTCTTCGTTACATGAATTAACACATGAGATTATATTATTCATTTAAAATCAGTTAAAATTTCTTTTTATTCACAAACACAATAACATTTTTCCATATGACGGAGGCAATACACCATGAACATGTTTACATCAAGAACATCCACGGAAGTGACTTTATTTATAGCGCATGCGTATTAAACACAGAAAAAGAGTTCCCTTCAGGGGAAATAACTCACCTTTTTAAAATGGGGAATAGTCCTTGCCCACTGACGTCAAACAAAAAGGCAGCCGCACGAGATTTACATGCATATTTGGCCTCCTTAGCGTCAGACACAGACTGAGACAGATGCGCACAAGATTTGCTCGCATAGGCCTCCTTAGCTCATGACCTATCGACCTATCTAATTTACATTCTGGTAGATTTATCGAGGAATAAACTCCTCTAAATTTCAAAGTTATCATACGAAAAAAAATAGAAATGGAAAATTGAAATAAAACTGATCGTGAGTGATGTAACCAATGCGTACTTGATCTGGCTGCACTAAGAATTCAAACACAACGTCACTGAAGTCACTGATTTAGACTGCAGCATAAAGAGAAAGGGATGATTAGATTAAGCATTGTCATATTGACATAATAAATACATGTACATGTTGGTGAAACCTTAAAATCTTAAACATTTTTTTTTATAATAAATATATACATTTGTGGTATCTCTCCATTATATAAACATACAGAGAGAAAATATCTTCAATTCTGTATGAAGTTTGTCAGAGGTCAGAGGTCAATACGTGACCTAATCACACGGCGCAATAATATCTACCAGTACATAAATTATAAAATGAGCTGCTGTACTTGCTTTTCATGTATAAAAATGATCAAAATAAGCAAGTAAAATGATAATTATTTTATTTAAAATGTAAACAAGTATTTCATACAGTTTTTGGGCTATCGATTCAACCTGTGTTACAGTGTCGGCCCTACATAGAGAAAATTAGGCCTAACGTTTGTTTACTTTTTTCACTTTTGTCAGCTGCACAGTTTCTAACGTTCATCCTTATATTTTGGGCAGACCTTTGGTCAAATTTTCATGATAAACTATTATTTCATCTTTAAATTCTACTCACGATAAATGTGTAAATCTGTTGGAAAATATCATAGCAATCATGCCATGAACAGCTGCCAAACACCTCGGCGCGCGTTTTCGTAGTTCAATGTAAAGCTGTCGCCATGCAGTGTCTCTGTGTTTAACAGTGTTTTACGAAAAGTATGCCTTTAGTTACTGAAATCGTAGAATGTTTTTGATCAAACTGCAAATTAACCGGCTCTGACAAGTGTCTCAATCCATCCCTTTCCAGCGACCGAAATTCCTCCAACTTTTTATCATCAAACTTCGGACGTTTTTCTCGTGTCTGTTCAGCATCGATTATCAATTTTCACATTTGAAAATATTCCCAGACAACAATCTGTTCACTATTACTGATCATAAGTAGCCTTTCACAAAATATTCCCTTCGAAATAGATCCCTTAGCCTTATGAATATTCGAAGCGTAACCGCCATGCAAGCCGATTTACACCTTGCGTCATTTTTCAAAATCTATGACGGACGGTTAGTGCAATAATTGAAATTCGAAAATATTCAATTGTCTGTCTCAAATGTATATATAAGTAATAAATAACAAGTTTATAAACTTCAATGGGAATTGAAGTGGGTCGGAACGTGATCAAATCTTCTGAAAAGGCCTTCGGCCTTCACAGGATTTGATCACGTGACCGACCCACTTCAATTCCCACTGAAGTTTATAAACTTGTTATTTATTTCTTAAATGAAACAAAAAAAAAAAATTAGAATAAAAATTACACAAGAGCTGTTGATTTTAACAACATTTAGCATGTTCATTTAAGGAATCCCGCCGAAAAGTTTGAAATTCTAATATATTTTATATGAAATAAGATTTTTAATTAATTTTTGTATGAAATGCTATTAAAATATATAAATCGTAATATTATAGAGAAAATGATAACTTCAAATCTGTGTCCAAGTACCTTTAACAGCGACTATGACGTAATCTGTCTTTTGGGACATGTGTCTTGTCTTCCCTTAAAGTGAGCTAATTTAAGGTCTGTGTTTATAGTACAAGTTTGAAGACACACTAATGATGACTTTTAAAACAAATATTAGCTATAAACACTTAATTTTCTATTACAATAAATGTACCACATAACTACATGTATTTATATTTCATTTTTTGCTCTGGAAATATATATTGATGCTAGATCTTTTTTTCTTTATAACAGAAGGAAGCCCTTACACAACAGAAAAATACCAGTATGCTAATTTTTTCTTTACAACAGAAGGAAGCCCTTACACAACAGAAAAATACCAGTATGCTAATCTGGATTTGGATGATACTGCTGGTGTTACATGAAGGGATTGGTATAGACCAGCCATACAGAGAAGTGAAGGGTACTACTTGTCAGGAGATCGCCAAACAGCCTAATTACCAGACTGGTCTACCATGTACAGGGAAAGATGTGAAGTATCACTGTCTTCTGAACGAGGATAACACCAAGGAGTATGAAGTATGCAGAGAGTGGAAGTGGATTCCAAAAGGTAGAAATGATTTTGATGTTTTTGTCTCAAGGACATCATATTCAACCTATATCTTATACATGTACCACTTTTAATTCCCAACTTTAATAACTTGCTAAATATTCTTATATGAAAAATAGTGATCCATGCTGCTGCCTTTGTGCATGTATAATTTTCATGTTATTAATAAGATATTTCAGCCATAAGATAAATTTACAAGTACAACTGTTGTTAGAAGTAGGCATACAAAGTATGCCTACTTTGATTCTTACTACTTATTTTTAACTTACCTGAACTGAAAGCTCAAGTGAGCTTTTCTGATCACCCGTTGTCCATTGTCCAACTGTCCGTCTAGCTGTCTGTCCGTCTTTAAACTTTTCACATTTTCAGCTTCTTCTCAAGAACCACTGGGCCAATTTTAACCAAACTTGGTACAAAGTATTTTGGGTAATGGGGAGTTTCTATGGTTATAATGAAGGCCCAAGTCCCCTTACAAGGGCAGATAATTAAGAAAATACAAAAATAGGGTGGGGTCATTAAAAATTAAAAAATCTTCTTCATGAGAACCATTGGGCCAGAAAAGCTAGAACTTATGTGGTAGCATTCTGGAGTAGTGTAGATTCTAAATTGTAAAAATCATGACCCTCAGGGGTAGGGCGGGACCACAATAGGGAATCCAAGTTTTACATTGAAATATATAGGAAAACATTCTCAAGAATCAGTGACCCAGAAAAGCTGAAAGTTATGTGGAAATATCCTCGGGTTGTGTAGATTCTAAAGTTTTAAAATCATTACCCCAGGGGCAGAGAAGTATATGGCCACAATAGGTATTAAAAGGGGGAAGTTTTGGTAAAAAAAAAATGGCATCTCTGAAGTTACTCATCTGAGCAATGTGGCCCATGGGCCTATTGTTTTAAATTCTTAGATCTCATTTATTTATCAATTCAAGTATATTTGTCTATCTTATGTAGGCAAATGTGCGTTCTTCAATACATATGGAAGCGGAAATGTGGATGAGAGAGACTGTGAATCCACCTCTGATCTACCTTGTGCTGTCAAGGAATACAACTCAGCAGATAATACCCAATGTTAGTTTACTTTCTTCTCCTAGAGAAACTTAGGGGTGTAATGATATGGTTAAAGACATTAATGTAGCATATTTTTGATAAGTACAAATAACCAAAAATAGATCTTTCTTTTTATATTTTATTATTTTACATACAGTAAAACTCGTTTATAGTGAAGTCCTAGGGACCTGTGAATTTAATTCGCTATATCCGTAATTCGTTATATCAGAATACCGAATTTGCATAACCATATATAGCGAATTCAATATATGCATGTTTTCCTTCAAGTATTAATACCACCAAATGTGTCAAGGAAGCAAATATTACAAAACATACCTTCGACAACTAAGGTTTAATTATGATTTGAATTTTATATACAAACGCAAAGAGAAAATAATTTATAAAATTTTGAGATCTCATAAAAGATGTAAATTCATTATTTTTAACCTCAACGGGACTCAAAATCAGTTTGCTATATCCGTAAAATCGTTATATCAAAGTTCTTTATAACCGTAATATTTTACAAAGATTTGTTAAGCATTGTACCAGGGACCCAGAAAAACTTTCGCTATATCCGTGAATTCGCTATATCCGTGTTCGTTCTAAACGAGTTTTACTATATTAAGGATATGACAGTTCTTTACTAAAATTACTTAAATGACACGTACAATTTAGAATATGTATTCATGTATGCATGAATACACATTTATATATGTATTGTGAAAAAAGTAACTCAGTTGAGCAGTGTGACTCAAGGATCTATAATAATAAGCTACTTTAAATTTATGCTTTCATATCATTTCATGGTGTTAAACTTGTTTAGAGTTAAGATTAGACACGTAAAGATTATAAAAAATATGAAAAGGAAAATATTGTGATATGTTTAGTGATACAGTCCCATTCAAAATATGATACTGTATAAGTAGAATTTTAAGCAAGGATTTAATTTTGCATTATTTGCGAGGGTGCAGAGAACACTGAAATTGAATATCGCTAAAAATTAATTGCGTTTTATTTGTAAAAGCTTCTTTAATGTGCATTTTAAAATCACTAAAATAATATCTTGCTAAAAATAAATTACCAGTTTTTAAGGACAAATCGCTAAATTTGCGTCTCTCTAAAATTTCCACTTGTACAGTATATCAAAACATAACATAGTCCTTTTCTTACAATCCTTACCCCTACTATATATTTTCTCTAAGTGAAATGCATTAGAGCTGTTACAGTATTATTTTAATTTGTCTTTGATTATAAAGATGGCAAAAATTTGAGGTTTTCAATTTTTCCTATGGCAGATGCTGCCTGCTATGTGAAAAAAGAAATGACAACTGTACCAATCTTAGAAACAAGGTAATATTAATTTAACTTTAAGCTATTTCTGAGTTGCTAATATTGAATAATGAATAATTAGGGCCCAGCAAGGATTTGCGGGTGCCCTATAGTAATCACTCTGACTGTCCGTCTATCTGTCTGTCTGTCATTCTTCCGTCCACAAATTGTCTGTCTTTTCCTAATAACTTTTTTATGGTTGCCCAATTTGCTAAGTTTGTTTCTCTATGTCCCCTGGTTTGGAGCTGGGGAGGTGGGGTAGATTCCTTTAACTTTAAATATATAAGAATGCATTGGCAAAGAGGGATAACTGCTGAAGATGTTCCCATTGTAAACTGAATGCTGATATTAGTCCCTTGGGATTAATTAGCTTTCCTTTTGAAGAAAAACTGTTCACGGTAGCTTAGTCGGTAGAACGCTCACTCCGTGATCGGGAGGTCGTGAGTTCGTATCTCGGCCGCGACTGACCCAGTCGTTAAAATGGGTAGCAACTGTTCCTTCGCCATGCGCTCGGCACTTTCAAGTGAAAGTTGCGGGTCCTTCGGGTGAGACCTTAAAAACAGAGGCCCTGTGTCAGCGGGGGGCATTAGCACGATAAAGATTCCTCACTGCTCAATGGCCCTGAGTGCCGAGTAAAGGTCAGAATTTGAAGCCCTTCACCGGCATACGGTGACATCTCCATATGAGTGAAAAATTCTCAAGAGGGACGTTAAACAATATACAACCAATCAATCAATCTTGAAGAAAATTCCAAAGCATTATCTTTATCTGTCACAGTGAGATAAATTACCACCTCTGTCTGCAAAAAAAGTTTGTTTTGAAGTTAAGTGAATTTGGAATGCTATGAACACTCTGAAATGTGGATTTAAATATTAATGTTTATACTTTATTTTTGGTAAAATAGATATGATTTCATTGAATTCTAAAAACAAGAAATAGATTAAAGAAGATATATTTTTATTTTTACTTTTTGTCCTTTATAAAAACCCCATTCTATCATCAATACTGAAAAAGTTCTTATTGTAACTTTAGAAGAAAATGATGATACAATTACAGGTACAATTAATCCCTTGTGATTGATTATCTTAAGCCTGCTGCAGAAAATTTATTAGGCGTATATCTTTATCTGTCACTTTAATATTATTGAAAACTTTTTTCTGCAACTGCTGTTTGTTTTTAAGTTAAGGTTAATGATATTTGCATTCATTGAAGGCTGGCATTTTATATAACATATAAGCTTCATTATTGATTAAATATACACTCAATGTTAAGTTGTTCTTTATTGCCTAATGTAAACACAAGGATATAATTTACAGTTTTTGAATATTCAGGAATTATCTTGAAATTTTAAGAATACAGTTGCTGTTGCCTATTCTTCATACATTTTTTAATTATTCTGTAAGCTGCACCGGCCCCCATACGGAAAAAAGGGCAAACAAACTACTATAACAAATTACTAACAAACCACTATGGTTTGAAAGTAGTTTAATAGTATAGCAAATCACATGCAAATGAGCTAACAAACTATACTCTAACAAACTATTATCAAACCACTCTTAACAAACTACTATCAAACCACTCTAACAAACTACTATCAAACCACTCTTACAAACTACTATCAAACCATTCTAACAAACTACTATCAAACCACGCTAACAAACTACTATCAAACCACTCTAACAAACTACTACCAAATCACTGGTAACAAATCCATCAGCAAAACACTAGATTTGAATTTTCCTTTACAAATCCACAAGTCTTTGAAAACACCTAAAACAATCATATTTTGAAATATTCAACAAGTCTTGTTTCAGAGTATTTAAATTCCAGGATTCACAAGTTTAGCCAATGCAAGTGCAACATTCCAACATGTTCCCTTTTGTTTAGGAGCTGATGCAATTCCAAGTCAATGTCCATGTACTTATCACATATTCTCCTTCATGTTGTGCACATCTTCATAGTATTTTTCACCAAAAAAATGTTCTTCAAGCTGACATTTAGATATTCCCTGCTTCGTCTGGCATGGAAAATGCTGCAATATTTCCTTTTTTCTGGCCTCATTGCAACTTTGAAAGACATCTTTTTGTCTTATTTTCAAGTATACTTCCCATAATCCAATGCATAACTGATCTAAACTAGTATAGGAATTAATTAGGTCAATCTGAAAATAAAAACCCAAAGCTAGTAAAAAGCATACGCATCCACATTCACAGAAGGTTACTGTAGTCCAGCCTTATTTTAGGTAAAAAGGAACTTCATGACATGCATTAAATACCTCTTCTAGTGTATCCAGATCCATCTTTTAATGATGTTAATTGCTGCTTTTTCCAGTCAGGGATCTTATAGAATGATACTAACAATTTGAATGTCCCTTCACCAGTTCCTTTGTTTCTGACCTGCTTGGTGGTTTGAAAATTGGCGCAAATAGCTAACACCGGATGTAAAGATTAAGCTGTTCTTGGAAACTTCAACAATTCTAGATAATTCAACCCTAAACACATCTGTAAAGTAATTTCCCATGTGGTTAGATGCAAATGCTATACTTATAAAACACTGTTGCAAGATACCAAGTCTAACAAACTATAAGGAAATCACAATCACCAGAAATGAAAGACTAACAAACCACTGCAGCTATTTTTAGAAAAAGTGGTTTGTTAGTGGTTCATTAAATGCTATACTATCAAACTACTTTAACAAACCACAAAAATATAGTTTGTTGGTAGTTTGTTGATAGTTTAATAGTAGTTTGTTGAAAATCTTTTCAGTTTGGGGGCCCTTATAATTCTACCCCATGGCGGGGCCCTTGCTGACTGGTCAGTTTTCTAGTTACTTAACAATTATGTTGGACTAGCAGGCCAACAGTTTAATTGTTAGATGGATGTAATTTTAATTTATCCCATGTTCATCCCTTTATCCTGTGGATATACCTCATGTGATATCGTTTTCATATCCCAAGTGTGGTTAAGTGTAGTTATTTTGTCACAATGGCCTTTCCAAGGGGGTCATGATTTGAACAACTTGAATCCACACTACCTGAGGATGCTTCCATATAAATATGATCTATTATGGCTTTGCTATTCCGGTGAAGAAGATTTTAAAGGATTTTTTCCATTATATTTCTTTGTAAAAATTTGATCGGCCATAGTGGCCACGCCCTACCCCCGGGGGTCATGATTTGAACAAACTTAAATCTACACTACCTGAGGATGCTTTCATAAAAATATGATCAATCATGGTTTTGCTATTCTTGGGAAGAATATTAATTTTTAAAGAATTTTCTTTCATATTTCTATGTAAAACTTTCATCGGCCATTTTGGCCCCACCCTACCCCTTGGGGTCATTATTTGCACATACTTAAATCTACACTACCTAAGGATGCTTCCCCATAAGTTTCGATTCATTCCTGTCACAGTGGTTCTTGCCAAGAAGATTTTTAAAACATGCCACCTAATTTTCACTACTGTAGATCACTATATTTTCGCGACACCTTCTTTTCGCGAGATAGTCATTGACTCTTTATTAGCGAGATAAAATTTTCACAAATTGTGGTTATTGCTCTATATAATCTTACGGAATACTATTTTACGCGAGAATCAAATTTTCGCGAGCTCACTGCCTCGCGTAATTACGCGAAAATAAAGTTCTCGCTAATAAAAAGTGATTTACAGTAATTCCCAATTATCTCCCCTTGAATGAGGGCGTGACCCTTCTTTCAAACAACTTGAATTCCCTTCATTCAAGGGTGCTCTGTACCAAGTTTGGTTAAAATTGGCCCAGTTGTTCTTGAGATGAAGTCGAAAATTTGAAAAGTTAACAGACAGACAGACTGCTAGACAGACGGATGCCAGACAAAATGTGATCAGAAAAGCTTACTCGAGCCTTCGGCTCAGGTGGGCTGAAAACCATGCACAGAAAAAGGAATAGCACATAAAAGTTATTAATTGAATTAAAAATCACAAACGAAATCATTCCATAAAGTAATATGAGTACATTGCTGTGATTAATTAACTAAATATTTCAGCATAAAAGGAAATCGTACTTCTGGAGGGACGGGAATCTGTTTAACAAATAATCAGCACAGGTTGGTGTAATAATACATATTTTTTTTAAGTCAAACATTTACTGATATGATTAAAAATTAGAACTCATTCCATAAAGTAATATGAGTACATTCCTGTGATTAAAAAATCACAAAAGAAATCATTCCATAAAGTAATTTGAGTACATTGCTGTGATGAATTAACTAAATATTTCAGCGTAAAAGGGAATAATGGTACTTCTGGAGGGATGGGAGTATGTTCAACAAATAACCAGCACAGGTTGGTGTAAAATACATATTTTTTTTAAGTCAAACATTTACTGATATGATTAAAAATTAGGTTGTGCATTTATTAATAGTAAAACTCCGTCTAATAGTAAGTTATTTTAAATGTGGAAGAAAGTTGCGTTTACTGAGCATCAAGCAACAACTTTTCAACCATTCAATTTGGTTCATTTTTTAAACCAGAGAGGCCATGGCGTACACAATTTTGAAAGAGGCATCATTTCTTATCATAACTATACACTTAGGTAGCACCCCCCTTCTCTATGTTACCATTGACCCACATGACCCAGGGGTCTTTAAATTCACAATTCAGAATGAAGGACCCTTGGTCTTAATTCATACCTATATTGACTTGTATTTGAAAATATTCAAATCTTCGTTTTGTAGTAATGAATTTATTTTATACCTTTGTGTGCTTTGTGCAATTTGAAAAATAATTACATACTTTATACTGTGATGCATGTATGTTATTCAAGATAAACTGCAAATTAATCCTTTCCTTTCTTATTCCTGAAAACCTCATGCAATAAAACTGGACACATACAAAACAAATTATATCAGATTTATTGAGGTTTAAATTCTAGCATTTCAGTATAATGAACTAAAAATAAACTATAAAGATGTTTATAATTAAACAATAAAAGTTCTTGATCATAACAGCAGTTTGCAATAAAACCTCTTACTCTTGAATCATACATGTGCATATAATATAGTATATATTGGTTACATATAAATCAACTTTTAATAAAGTGTACAACAATCACTTATATCATCATGTCAATACGTATGAAATTTACAACATCTGCATTCAATAGTTGTGTCCAAAAGCAATGTTTTAACATTTCATAGTGTTATGATTGAAATTATTTTCTTAAGTTTTGAAAGCTTAAAGCACTTGATTGATAAAAAAGTTTTGCAAATGTCTGAAATTTTACCATAAAACACTATTCGAAGCAATTTTCACTTTTATTTATTACCATCTGAAAGAAGCAAGGTTTACCTCCCTTTACGGGCTGGCCATTGACCCGTTCTTTCCAAACTACTTACCTTCAAAAAGTGTTGCTTCATGTAGGTGATTTCAGACACTTACAACATTGAATAAAAAGATATTATGAAATCTGAATTGATAATTCTTTTTAAAAAACAAATTTGAGTCCATTATACTATAGTTAGGTTTGATGCACATTGGTATCCTTAGCATATTTTATACAAATACATTTTACTGTTATTGGACATCTGCACATGAGATGTAAAAAATTAAACCATTGAGTTATTGTAACCTTTCACAATATTATGAAAAGTGTATTGAACAGACAGGTTTTAAATTATGGAAGATGACAAGAAGAAAAATATTTGAAATTATTAAGAACATTGTATAACCCGACCATCTTAATCTGGCAATAGCATTTCAAAGCACTGCAAAAACAAAAGAAAACCAAAAAAAAGTTGTACAATATAAAAAAATTCCTATATTACCAATAAATACTACATATATAGTGTGTGATTTAGTAATTTAATTCATAAAGAATTGTGCGATGGAACTCATATTTTTCATATTTCAAAGAAATAGCTGCCCTGATTCATTCATTCATTTTTAGAACAACTTTTTTAACCTTACATACCGAAAACGAAAAGAAAGATTAAAAGTTGTTCATATAATGAGATACAAAAACCATGCAGGTTTCAGGATCATGAAATAGATGCAATATTAGACTTCGTCAAGTCCAAATTTAATTTAAGTCAATTATAAAATGAATACTACAGTGTATACCTGAAAAATTACTCCTAATGAGAAGTGATAACAAATGTACTTAAGGATAAATAACACAAACTTTTTTCTTCAAAAATTCAATTATCTCTCACTTAAGATTATGTGATATAAATTTGTTTACTTAAACAACAAATGTCTGGCCAAGCAAAACAACTTGGCGGAAAAAAAAAAACAGACATGCAACTTTACTGATCAAAGTTTTTAATTACCGGTACATTTCCATTGAAAAGAATATTGAAAAATTTTCAGTGTAACTCTTCTATGTGGGAGATAAAAAATTTGTTTGTGGTATGTATCCTTAAAGAAACAATTCACTTAAGGTGAATGACTGGTACTAATATCACATTTATTACAATCAAGTTGAGAAACATTTCACTTTTGGCAATAAATAATATATAAAACTTAATAAACTAACTTAATAAACTAAATAAATGATTTTCTAAATATGACTTTGAATAACAGAATGTAGGTTGTGATGAACTAATCTTTCCAAAAAAATTGATTTAACATTTTAATAAGTAATAGAGCTCAGGAGTATTAAAGTCTTTCCAGAAAAAAATGTTCATTTAAAAGTTTAAGATGTCCACTGGAGCTAGTGCTTGTTTTCAGGGAGAAAACTATTCTGGATGTTTACAGTGTCTTTGTAGATCATACTGAAAGTCACTTGTGATATTGGGTTACAAAGTAGGGAATGTTACTTTTATGAAGATACATAATAATAAATATCATAATAATTGTATAGTTATTCATTATTGTATAATAGCTAAGAAATACTTATGCATAGCACAAGAATGCTTTCTAATATATCTACTACTTATACAGCCAGATTGAAATATATTCATTTACCAAAAAAAATTGATAATTTAAATGCCCATGAGATGAAATATTAATTGTTAAACTGTACATGTATTACTGTATCAGATACATGTAGTATATTAAATACACAAATATATATATAATATTGTAAAAAGTAAAAGTGAACAAAATAAAAGTTACAATAAAGAAGTAATATTTGATCAATTGTATGTTTCATCCAGACTTAATGAATCAATACAGACACATGGCCACATTACAGAAAACAAGCTACAAAGAAACAATAATTATCAATCAATCAAATCTTTTGGACATACTCGTATATCATTAACATTTTCAAATAATATCATTATTATACAAAATCATAGGTATACAACATTTAACTTATGGTATATTAATTTGATTATTACAGAACTGTTTACATGTGAATTTGCAATCTCTTAGGTAATAAAACTACCTCTTATACAGTGACAGTTTTACAATGCTGTTGTGGATTTAAAATTGTGGATGAACAATATAATTATACATAAATTAAAATCAAATAAAAAAGTAGACAGGACAAACTATCATTAATAAACTACATAATTTCATCTCATGGGCATTTTAATCTAAATATTTTTTGTCCCAATAATGAAATTTAAAATACATTTTATATATAAAACATACTGAGAGTTATTGGGACAAAAAAGTAGTTGATGAGTGGCAACCCTTGATTTTGCCTAACCACTCTAGGCAGTATGTAAATATTTAGCTTCCATTGGAAACTAAATATTTACATACTGCCTGTTATTTGCTCGAGAGGGTTTTATGATACTACACAATGTAATTAAAATTCAGTTCTGTCTTTAGAATAGGTTGCTTAATTAAGTCATATCTGCAGCACAATAAATCATATTATGGTCAGACCAATAAGCCTGAAGAACATCTGTTTCTAAATCAGTAAAGTTGGTAAATATCAGGTCTAACTGTGTCTTATTCTTTGTGGTTACCTTGCTTATGATTTGCACACAACCAAATTTTTCTTTCATAAAGTTCAAGAAATTAGCATATTGACCAGAACATAAATCCAAATTAAAATCTCCCATTATCACAGTCTTTTCATCTTTGTTAACAAATGGGAGCAACCTGTTTTTCAAAGTATCGTAAAAAATTTGAAGAGTACAAGAAGGCTGCTTATATAAAACTACACACTGTATTGGAGTATTGGATGGCATAATTGAAATGATGGAAAATTCAACAGATTTGGAAGTAAAAGAGCTGTATGAAACACACTGTAATTGATTTTTCACATATATGACAATACCATGATGTGGTCTGCTCTTGGAAGAACTTGCATCATTCCTGAACATTGTAAAACCCTCTAAACTAAAGTCTTCATCAGAATCTAATTCACAAAGCCAAGATTCAGCTATACCAATAACATCTGCAGCCAAAACACTTGGTTCCGATTTTATATCAACGAAGTGTTTGTGTAGAGATCTGGCATTGTTGAACAAAAATTTTATGTCTTTACATACCGAGTATAGTGGAGTATACGAGAGTTGCAATCTATTTTCTCTTAACCTTTGCATCTCTTTATCAACCGTTTCATCTTTTGAAAGACTTTTTTCATTGAGATCCAGAATGAACAGACCATCAAGTGACCTTACTCTTGAAAGTGCAACATAATGTATATGAGGAATTTTTCGCTGCTTTGTCTGTGCTAAGCTGATTACTGCCTTTGAAAGAGTTGCTCCTTGTGCTTTGTGGATTGTTTTTCCAGCAGATGGTTGCAGTGGAAACTGAACTCTCTCATATGTTTTCCTGTTATAAACAAATGTTCTTTTAGCTTCAAATACGGGAGTCCATGCAGTATTAATATTTGTGCTAAACAAATGCCTGTATTGATGTCTTCGTGAAATACCTATACTTGAGTCAGCAAACAGTACCCATACTATGGCAGGCCTTAATTGTGATTCTTTATATTCAATGTATTTCACAACGCAGGAAGCACCATTTGTCAATCCATCTGTAACATCGAGATTTACTGATATGTCATATAGCATATCTACAGCAATAACCAAATTAGTTCTTAATTGTCCAGTAGATGCTGGGTTTTCAGGCAAGTTTTGAACTAGTTTCAATTTCACTGATGCAGAAAGTTTTGTCTGTGATAACACATCTGTGTCTGCTCTTACATTTACTTTATTTGTTGAAAGGTTTTCTATTAGATTGTTATTAAAACAATCGACAAACTTGTTCTCAATAAACAGATGAGGTGCCTCCTTGGGATAGTCTTGAGAGTCTTGCCTGATGAAACGTTGAGAAATGAGTTCTTTGTCTTCTTCTGTCATCTTGTTTTCACGAAGTCTATTTAACACTTCTGCAAATCTGAGGTCATCCTTTTGTCTCATAATTTCAGTTAGTTCATGCATATAGAAATGTTCATGCCACAAATTGCTTGCTAAACTTTGACCAGGATTAGAAAGATCTTTGAAAATCCACTTGTCTCCAACAGGTGGCAACTGATACAAGTCACCTACAGCTATGATACTAATACCACCAAAATCTTGTTTTCTCCCAGTAAGTTGTTGAAGTCTATCATTTATAAATGACAGCATATTATTTCCAACCATTGAAATTTCATCTATTATCACAACTGACAAATTCCGATACTTTGTCCTAAATGAGTTCAGTTCATCTGCACTCATGTGCTGCTGAGTTTGATACATTTTTCTGTGAAATGCTGATGCAATAGTAGTCCCTTTGATGTTGTATGCAGCCTTGCCAGTGTGAGCACAAAGTAATATTCTGGTATCATCAGGGTTTTCACCTTCTTTTGAGTACAGTATTCTGTGTAATGTTTGAAAAATGGCATCAATAACCACTGATTTTCCTGCTCCTGCTCCACCAGTTAGAAAAGCATATAATGGTTCATCTCTGGTTTGAATCCAGTTTGTTACATGATTGTAAAATTCCCTCTGCTTAGTATTCAGGGATTGCAAAAGTTTATAATACTGCTCATCAGGAATGCGGACAGCACTCATTTCTGTTTCAGTTACTTTTGAGGACAATCCAAGTTCTGGTCCAATATCGAAATCTCTGTGTTGAACTGTATCAGGATCAAAATGAACAAATTCCTCAGATGGTTCAGAACCTATCTCTGCATCTTCTGCCTCAGTATGTTCTGTATTTGGTGCTACTGTCTCCATATTATCCAGATCTTCTTCAGCTTGAAGTCGAGCTTGTTCTAATTCATCCACAAAATGTTCATACTGCCTTTGCTTCATTTGTATTATACTTGCTTTTTGACTGTAGTGCTGTTCATAAGTTTGATGACTACCAAGTAGGTCAGCATTCTCATTTCTCCATGGCAGAAAAAGAAGAATTCTTTCTCTGTAATACTGTTCAGAATTTGTTTTTTGGCTGTAGCCTACATATCTAATAACTCGTTTGTTTTTTCGTCTTCTGATCTTAATCCCATTTTTCAAATGAACTAACACATCCTGATCAGTAAAAGTTTCTTGAGAACTGTCTTCTGGGTTATCATCATTCACTTCCTCTTGTAAATCTTTTCTGATTTCTTTTGGGAAAGTCACTTCCAATTCAGAAACAACATCAGCTAAACACCAATTTTCTAGCTGTTTTGGTCTTCTTGCATATCTTTGTATCATACTATCTGCCTTAATATCAGTTGAATCCTTGGGTAACTCATTTAATTCATCTTGATGTTTGAGTAAGAAAACTCGGTCTTCAGGTGGAGAAGTATTGATAAAAACAACCTCTCTACTTGCTTGTGTAAGTGGCATCTGAAGGATTAAGTAACTTGCTTCTTGTGCACTGACCTCAACAAAGTTTAAGAACTTGTTTCCAATATGTCGAACTTGTCGCTTAAGATCCATATTTCCCTCTGCTGCTTCTTGAGATGCCTTATCAAGCATTGCACTAATTCCTCTCTGAGATTTGCTGATATAAGCAACAATGTATGTGGCACATGCATAAGGATCAAGTACAAACTGAATATCTAAGTTAGCATTCCAAGCCTTCAACACTGTTGAGTTATAGTAATTCACTCTCATTTCAGATGGACTCCTCTTCAGAAACACTTTTGGGCCTTTCAAGGAAGCTCGAATACATTTTATATACTCATCTTCACACATTTCTACAACAGTCTCTAAGAAGGAATCATAGTCTAAACTGCAACCATCTTTGTAATCATTCATTTTCTTCTGAATATCAGAATACATCTTTCTATAATGTTCAACATCAACATCCAAGGGCTCAAGAAGCATGGTTTTGGGCAAAGGTGGCAAAGGAAATCCAAATCTGCATATAGACCTACCACCTTTTCTGCATGTTTTTGAGTGCTTATGTACTTGAAGATCGACAAACTGCTTCATTTCAGGATTATTTTCCTGCAAACCACATGTGACATACTTATCTACATATGCTTCAATTTCCTCATTGCTATTTTCTTTGTGCTTTGGAGCATCACTTGTCCATACCAGCATATGAATATGTGGCGAACCTCGGTTTTGGAATTCTACCCTTCGAAACACATCAGTGACAACACCTAGAGGATTGTGAGGACTCTTAAGAACGGTGTTTATGAAAAGTTGAACTCTGTTGTCAAAGAATCTAGCACATGTCACTGGATCTTGTTTAACTAGTTTTGATTTTTCACTCCAATTCAAATCCTCTAATTCTTCTTGTGACAGGGTTTTTCCATCTAGAGTTGCCAATGTTTTAAGCAGATCTTGCCATCTGGTATCAGCTGATGAGAGAGAAATAAACCATGTTGGAAGACCCAACTGCCTTATCATGGCAAATACATCTTTCTTTTTAGATGAAAGATATGCAGGAGAATTTCGAAGTGTTCTGAAAATATAATACCCTTCATTTAATCTCACAATTTTTTCCGCAGAGGCTGGATTTAAAACTTGTTCTGCAGTAATTTTCTTACCGTCTGATTTACATCTTCTCAGTGCCAAGTTAACTTTGTCACTAACTTGCTTAATTTGAATTTTCTTTAATTTAAAAAAGATGTTAGGTACAGATTGTGCGGCTCGTCTATCCACACTGCGCAACTCCCATTTTGCGATATCACTGTAGTGTACTGGAACGTCTCTTTCTTCACTTTCAACTCTGCGATTACCACAAAATATTGTTGGAAAACAGAGATATTCAGCATCTTTATCTGTAAATAAACTTATTGGTTTTTGGTTTTCTCCAGGGGCAAACACATAGAGTTTATTTGTATCAATATCTGCTTCATCTACAAGGGTATCAGAATTGCCCTGAATGCAATCATCTGAGGAAACTTCACAAAAACCATCATCATTTCCTTCAGTCTCACGATCATCACTATCATTTGAAGATCCTATCAGTTCTTGTACTGTTTCCTCATTACTTTTTTCAATTTCATCTCTCCAAGAATGGTTGATCACTATACCTGAATTTTTATACAATTCACTATTTTTCATTAGCCATTCTAAAGCATTTATCACCACATTGGGACGAACATTTTCTGTAAAGCATGCAGATTTGTGGGATAATCTTTTCTTTAATTTCACAGCTATAGTCACATGCTCATCTATTTGTCGTGGCAGGGCATTTACAGTTGGCTGAATATCAACTGGAACATTTACAACATTTCCTTTGACTGACATCTGCCCTCCTCTTGGTAACTCTCTTATTTGCATAAATGGTATCCGTTGTGATATCAACCTTTCTTCCAGTGGATGTAAATTTAAAGCATCTGGTTTGTCAGGCCATTTCATTCCATTTTTAACTGAAAGTCTTGGGATTTTTTCATCCTTCAGAGCTGAACAGCAAGTTAAACATAGCCATTCAATACCATCTACTGATCTAAACCCAGTACAAATACTCTTACTATTAGCACTAAGGTTAGTGCAATTGTATAAATAGATACCTTTTACAAAGGAAAATTATAAATAGTTAACGTGTCCATTTCACTCTGAATTTATTTAAGGTTAAATTTCACAGTGAGAATTAAACCCCATCCCACCCACCCTCTCAATCTCAGTATGATGTATGAATTGTATCTAGCTTCACAACACTTTTCCGAAACCAAGTCTGATGACAACATGTACACACATAAATTGGGCCAATTTTAACTTCTTCGTGGAATTTTTCTATGCATTCTTCCAAAGAATTACCATGACACCTTTTTTTCAATAATTTGTTTTCGTGATCTTTAAATTCTGTATCAAGCCTTTTTTTAGCTTTAGAAACTCTTTCATTTTCTCTTTCTTTTTCTCGGTAATTTCTTCTACTTTGCTGTTTAGATAGCCGTTCCTTCTCAAGCTGCTCTACATTGTCTCTTTTCCTTTTCTTTGCTTCCCTTTCTTTTAAACAAAATTCAGCATTTAGTCTTGCCTTCTTCCTACTTTTTAAGGCACTTTCTCTATCCTTGAGCTTTGTCTCTTGATTTTCTCTGACTTTTTTTTTTAAAGCTAGTTCTTTCTCCCTAAATTCTTCACTTTGTCTTGCCTTCTGCTTACTTTGTAAGGCACTTTCTCTCTCCTTGAGCTTTGTTTCTGGATTTTCTCTGACTCTTTTTTTTAAAGCTAGTTCTTTCTCCCTAAATTCTTCACTTTGTCTTGCCTTCTGCATACTTTGTAAGGCACTTTCTCTCTCCTTGAGCTTTGTTTCTGAATTTTCTCTGACTCTTTTTTTTGAAGCTAGTTCTTTCTCCCTAAATTGTTCACTTTGTCTTGCCTTCTTCCTACTTTTTAAGGCACTTTCTCTCTCCTTGAGCTTTGTTTCTGGATTTTCTCTGACTCTTTTTTTTGAAGCTAGTTCTTTCTCCCTAAATTGTTCACTTTGTCTTGCCTTCTTCCTACTTTTTAAGGCACTTTCTCTCTCCTTGAGCTTTGTCTCTTGATTTTCTCTGACACTTTGTTTGAGAGCAAGTTCTTTTAGTTTAAATTCATTACTTTGTCTTGTTTTGGTCATACTTCTTAAGGTGCTTTCCCTGTCCTTCCGAGTTATTTCAGTGTTTTCCCTTCTTTTTCGCATATAATTTCTCATATATTCATTTCGGTTTTTTTGTGATGGTTCAGAAATATTATATTTTGTAGACATGCTTTCTTGGAACTCAAAGTACTTATCAATTAAAGAACGTCTTTCACTTCTTGAATTGGACTCACTTGTTTTTCGAGTTACAGACACTGGTTGAATCTCAAACTGGCTTATCATTGAAATATTACAACTCTGATAAAATGCGAAAAGGTAGTCCACAAGTTGATCTTGATCACTAAAAGTGATTTTTACAGCTTTACCCTCTGCACGTGAAAGACCATCTTGTCCGTGAGAATGTGAATCAAAAAATACAGGACAGTTCTTATCATCAACATATATTGCAGAACAAATTCCTCCAACTATAATTAAGCCTTGATTGTATCTTGCAAAGAGCTGCTCAATGCCTTCCTTCAAATTCTTATTTTGACTTGAGTTATTCCAATCCATATGACTCACCGTTCCATAGATTTCTTCAAAATAGCAAATGTCATACTCATTACCATGCACAAAAACAGACTTAGGAAGTTCTTGAAATTGTAGCATTTTAGAAACAAATTGAACAGTTGACTGTAATTCTGCAACTCTGACTCTATACAAATCATCTCCTGCTAACAGCACTTCATCAAGTTCTGAAGAGGTAGATGCATTTTGCAAAATGATGGACATCAAAGCATTGCATGTACACTGAACTCCTCTAGAAAAGGCTGGAAATAAATTACTAGCTTGATTAATTGTTCCAAATAATTTTGTTCCAAGCAAATTTACACAATTCACAGCGCCCAAAGGCATATTGGCAGTATTCATAGCGCCCAAAGGCAAATTCACAATGTTCATAGCGCCCGAAGGCGAATTGGCAGTGTTTGTAGCGCCCGAAGGCAAATTCACAGTGTTTATAGCGCCCGAAGGCAAATTTGCAGTGTTTGTAGCGCCCGAAGGCAAATTCACAATGTTCATAGCGCCCGAAGGCAAATCATGTACTCTTTTTAAGGAGGCAGTATCCCCCCGGTCTTTAGTACTATTTTTTACGTGGCTAGTATCCACGAGTCTCAAAGGTCCGTCATCTGTTATGTTAATCGTTGGGTCTTTGGTACTATTTTTTACGTGGCTAGTATCCACGAGTCTATTGTCACTGCTGGCACGGCTCTGGTTCCCCATCTTCGCCAAGGCCACCCTCCAATTCTTCTTGCGCGGCATTACAGAGTTTCTGCAAAACATATACAACAATACAACATTATGTAAATATCAGGCCCAAGAATTATGAAACAGACTTAAACTTAAGTCAAATTTTCAGTCGCCTTGAAAATGTTTATATCAATTATTGGATTTATCTCTGAATTTGCAGAAAACACTTTTTGGAAAACAATGAGGAGAAAAATTTTGATTTTGATAAGAAGTGCATCACTTCTACAATGTTTAAATACAACATAAAGATTTTGACTTAAGCTTAAGGTCAAGATGTAGTAAATGACTTCAGACTATATTTTGGTGCAATATCCATTCTAAAGTCATAATAAATTCCAACTTTCTTATTTCTGTACTTTATGGCTTTAGCAGAGTTATGTAGAAACTAGAAATATGTCCATAGGACATGAATGCCCCGTCTTATGTATATTAGTTATGCAACATGAAAATTTGTGCATTAATGTATGAAGTTTTATGAAAATATCTTAACAGTTTCTCTAAATTGAATTAAAAAAATTGGATACAGATAATAAATTCACACTAAATTATGGAGAAATACATGCTTAGATAAAAATATCTGAAATAGTTTCTTTAAAACTAAGCAATACAAAATTAAAGAAAAGGGAGGTCAATGTCTCAGGAAAAAGCATGGTGTGTGATGTAGTTGAATACTACCTCCCACTAATACATATTAGCATATTAAAGTATGTTTGATAAAATTATCTTTCATGGTCTATTCTAAACTGTTCTAAATACTTATCTAAGAAAAGACAGGTCAAGGGAAAGGTAAAAAAAATGTTGATGCATTAGTAGTATATACATGTATCAACATATGAAGTTTGCTAACACAATCTTTAATGGTATCTTTAAAACTAAGCTTATCACTAATTTAAGAAAATTGAGGTCAAGGTAAAAGGATAAGACAACGTCAATAATAAAAATATTGATGTATTTGAATAGCTTACATCAGTATGTATCAATATATGAAGTTTGATCAGACTATCTTGAATGGTATCTTTAAAACTGAGCTAAACACTAATTTTAGAAAAGTGAGGTCAAGGACAATTGAAAGATCAAGGTTAAAAAAAGTTGATGCAGTTGCATAGTTCTCAACAATATCTCTCAGCATATGTTTGATAAAAATATCTTGAATAATTTCTTTGAAACTTGGCTTTGAACTGAGCTCGACACCAAGTGCGACGGAAGGACAGATGGAAAGACGGAAGATGGACAAACACTTATGCCTCAGCCATATTCATGGTGGGGCATAAATTAGGGTATTTCATGACGTTCTATTTGAAATCATAAAAAAAGTAATCCCGATTTCTGTAAAATTAAATTTGATATTATTAAAAAGAAGAGGCCATGAAGTAACAAATAATTACCGTTTTCTGAGAGACGGTAGGCAATTTAGATACATTTCGTTTGTCCATCATGAAAATAAATTATCCCAAATTCATGACTAGTTTTTAATCTTTTTTTAAAAATAAAAATGGCAGTTTAAAATATAGTTTTTCGTCATGTTTACCTCCAGATTATGCCCCAAAAGACCTTATGTGACCAAGCATAAGTTGTAAAGTTGTAAACTAAAAGTATCAGTAAAGCTATTTCTCAAATTTCATAAAGCTATAGGCATTCTTCATTTACTAGATCTTGACCTTAAGATTTTTTATCAATCTAATTAAAATTAGATAATCTGAATCAGCTACTGCTTCTCTAACATCTAATAACATCCTATCTGGGGTCACTTCAGAGCGACCTTTCAATTACAAATAAACACAAGAAATCTGTGAGCCAATGCTCACAAGTAATACCTCTGCTCTAATACGAATAAACTATTATGTTAATATACACAAGTTCAATTACTGGCAAATGCACAGAAAACTATAAAGTTGACATCAGATTCACACCAAAATGAATCCCACCATATGGTATGTCTCAACAAAGAGTGTACTAAAATTTCAAGCATCTGCGGTGAGTATTTGCTGAGAAAACTGCAACGAAAATCTGTTATTATGAAACAGACAGACACACAGACAAATGGGAAGTTGACATCGGATTTGAACAAAAATGTATCCCACCGTTTTGCATGCCTCAAAGGGAATAGTGTTAAAATTTCAAGCATCTGCGATGAGTAGTTGCTGATTAAACTGTGACGAAAATTTGTTATGTACGAGACAGACAGACGCACAAACAAACAGGAAGTTGACATCGGATTTGATTAAAAATGTATCCCACCATATGGCATGCCTCAGAAAAGATTGTGTTAAAATTTCAAGCATTGCAGTTGCTGAGAAAACTGCAACGAAAATTTATGATGAAACAGACAGATACACAGACAAACAGGAAGTTGACATTGGATTTGAACAAAAATGTATCCCACCATACGGCATGCCTCAGACAAGAAGATGTTTAAAATTTAAACTTCTGCAAATAGTAGTTGCTGAGAAAACTGCAACGAAAATTTGTTATGTATAAAACGGACAGACAAACAGGAAGTTGACATCGGATTTGCACAAAAATGTATCCCAACATAAAACATGCCTCAGAGAAGACTGTCTTAAAATTTCGAGCATCTGCAATGAGTAGTTGCTAAGAAAACTGTGACAAAACTTTGTTACGGACAGACAGACGGACACACAAGGGTTAAACAGTATACCCCTCTCTGCTTTGGAGCGCAAGTATAAGGTCAATCACATTCAAACTTCAGTAAACATTGACAATTCTAAATAAATAAGTTCCATGGCTACATATTGATTATTAATCATGTTGATAATGATACTGTATTACTTTGAATTAAAGCAATTTTGGTATAAATCTAATGTTTAGTCCACCAGTCTGGCATCCTTATGTGAATAACGCAAACGAAAAAGGACAAAATGTACAAGATATCCAGCATAACACATGCATACATAGCATAACTTTTGCAATGCTTATTTTGTTAACTCCGAAACTCCTCGGGCATATAGATTTGACAGTAAAAAGAGGAAACTCATCCGAACTATAAGCTAAGATTTTGGAGGCATTAAATTCATTGGCCAATCAAAAGGCTGTGCTGATGTGACCCCAAATGGAATGTTGTTAAGATGTTTGAGAAGCAGTAGCAGATTTGAAATATCTAATTAGATTGGATGCTTCATGATCCCAGGACCTGTTCTTCTGATTACATTTCTTACTTACCACTTGTTGATTAAGCTAAATACATGCACTATATAACAAGATGTGTTTGTGAAACACTATGCGCCCGGCGGCAACAAAGTTCAAAAAATCTATTTTTAGCATATTGGTCACAGTCAAGGTCACAAGGTCATTGACCATGGTGTCATTTGAAAGAACTTAATCAGTGGAGTATGCATCCCAAATATGAAGTCCCTATCTCCTATGGTTCAAAAGTTATGGCCAAAAGTGTAAAAAGCTATTTTCAGCATATAGGTCACAGTCAAGGTCACAAGATCATTGACCATGGTGTCATTTGAAAGAACTTAATCAGTAGAGTATGCATCCAAAATATGAAGTTCCTATCTCCTATGGTTCAAAAGTTATGGCAAAAAGTGTAAAAAGCTATTTTTAGCATATAGGTCACAGTCAAGGTCACAAGATCATTGACCTTGTTGTCAACTGAAAGGACTTTATTAGTGGAGTATGTATACCAAATATGAAGTCCCTATCTCCTATGGTTAAAAAGTTATGACAAACAGTGGAAAAAGCTTTTTTTAGCATATAGGTCAGTCAAGGTCACAAGGTCATTGACCTTGATGTCATTTGAAAGGACTTTATTAGTGGAGTATGCATACCAAATATGAAGTCTCTATCTCTTATTGTTCAAAAGTTATGGCCAAGGTTAAAGTTGACAACAGACAGACAAACAGACAAACGGATAAACAGACAAACAGACAGGACAAAAACAATATACGCCCAGGATCTATCGATCCGGGCGCATAAAAATTCACAAAAGGTTTCTTTCAACAAAACTTGCAATGGTCATTTAACACCAAGCTGAAATCTCTTATAAATATATTGAACCTTAACATGCAATTTGTTCTCTCAAACTGCATTTTAGGAATACTTTTAAATCACTTATAAATCAAAAACCTTGTCAAAAGGTATCTCAAAGTAAGGCAAATCTTGCAACTTTGGGGGTAGGGGGTGGGGGTTAAGTGTGCATCCGAAAATCAATATCCATGCAAGTTTAGTTTGAAGAGGACTTATAGTTACTGGAAAATAGACCAGCACCAAAAACTTTCACCTGCTTTATTACCGAATCTGGAAAATATAGGTCAAAACCAGCATCCAAAGCAGAATGTTTTAGTGCTAATTGTAACGAGAACCGTTACAGATGTTCCCAAAATGATCCTCAAGTCCCTTTTCTTGCCTTATTCCCTTTATGATTCATTCCCTTCAAGCTTCATTAAATAAGGCAAACTCAATTTATTTTAAACATTAAGATCTTTTCCCGAGTGTATTGCAATTTTTAGAACTGCACGCATGTGCAGGTGATGCATATATTTCCATATGACCACATTATGTCTACACTTTTGATATATTTCAAAAAATCGAATATTATAGCATTTAATCAAAATGTATAAAAGTTACGGCTCAATCAACTATATTGGTCCCATTAG